CTGGTGCAAAAGAGGCATACTTGAATTAAAGCTTTCCGAGCCCAGGAATTTCAAGTACCAGAACTGAACCAAGTTCACAGCATTTGTATGCAAATATCCACTCCTGGTTAGCCCAAGTTTTCTTCCTCCCTTCATTTCAGCAGCATAGTTTAGGGCAGCGGGAAAGTTATTTTCTCGCTGTTGTTAATCAGGAGTCAGAAATTTCTTGGCGTTCTGCTGCAAATCATGCAGAGATCTTCCAGGAGATGCACAGCTACTTTTTGCCCACCCTTCCCTCAGGTTGTTTCAAGGCAGCAATGTTCTTAAGCTGAGATTCCCTCATGCAAGTCACTCAGAGCCAAAATTCAGTTTTCCCTGAGATTATTTTTTGCCAAATTAAGCGTTTGTTCCATCTACATCATTCAGCCACCAACCCAGCCACCCCAAATGAGAGACCGCTTCTGAACATTTGCCTGTAGCTTTCCCTTTTATCTCATTTTCTCCATCTCTAGTACTTAATTGTCTACCTCAAATAGATATTGTGAGGATTAATTAGTTAATCTTTGTACGATGCTTTTGAAATGTCAAGTGCTACTGTATTTTGTTAGATTATTATTATTTTTCTTTAGAATGTGTTATTAAATGCCTTCAGGTTCTGCTGTCTTTCTCACAATGGAACAGAGGAGGAGCCCTTTACAGTTGAGATGAGATAACTTAAATTGTTCTTAATTTTCATTTAAAAAGCATCTCAATTATAGGCAACACCCTCTTTGTGAGTATGGATGGGGGAAGAATTTAAATCTAGTTCTCATTTGAGGACAAGCGTACCCAATCCATACTGTTTGAATTTTGCAAGGCAGTTCTCCATTCATGTTGTGTTTTCAAAAATGCATATACTTGAGTAAAAGAGAAGCTCTCCTTCTCCACAACATCTGAATCAGAAGAGGCTGTGAAAGCTCTGGACCAATGTCTGAATGTAGTGGTGGATGGGATGAGGCCCAATAAACTGCTTGAATCCTGTAAAGATGAAGGCTCAATGAGTAGGTGGTTTCCATGCTTGGGAAATAGGCAAGTTACCTGTTCTGTACCTCTGAAGGAGAATACATCAACATTAATTAAATAATAATAATAATAATAATAATAATAATAATAATAATAATAATTTATTACTTATACTCCGCCCATCTGGCTGGGCCTCCCCAGCCACTCTGTGCGGCTTCCAACAGGATAGTTAAAACACAATAAAACATCAAACATGTAAAACTTCCCTAAACAGGGCTGCCTTCAGATATCTTCTAAATGTCAGGTAGTTGTTTATTTCCTTTACATCTGGTGGGAGGGCGTTCCACAGGCTGGGCACCACTACCGAGAAGGCACAAAAGTCCTCCATGGCCACAAGTGCCTTTTACCAGTTTCATCTGGTTGACAAGCTGGAATGTGTGGAAAGGAGGGCAACAAAGATGATCACAAGTCTGGAAAGCAACCATTATGAGGAATGGTTGAAGGAGCTGGGTATGTTTAGCCTGGAAACAAGGAGAGGGAGAGGAGATACGGTAGCCATCTTCTAATATCTCAAGGGCTGTCACATGGAAGAGGGAGAAAGCCTAGTTTCACTTGCTCTGGAGAGTAGGACTCGAACCAATTGCTTATTGTATTTGTTTGTTTGTTTAATTTTATTTATACCCTGACCTCCCTGGCCAATACCTCCTCAGGGCGGCTACCATCAAGTATAAAAACAATTGATTAAAATACAACTTAAAATGCAGCCTCATTTCAGTGGAAGCCCAGATCAAAAACTGTTTTTTGGGGGGGGGGGGAGAAAACGTCAAATCTTCACCCCGTTAAATTGTTTCTATATGCAACAACAGCGGCAAGAGTATTGTTAGCCCAGAAATGGAAGCAAGAAGAAATCCCAACGACAGAAGAATGGCAGATAAAATTAATGGACTACGCAGAATTAGACAAAATGACTGGAAGGATTCGAAAGCAGCAGGACCAGAGATTTACAGAAGATTGGAAGAAGTATATGAACTATTTGAAGAGCAACTGTAATCAACAAATTACGCTAGTAGCACTACAAGAAGTTTTGTAAGGAGAAATATATGAAATATGGCAAAATAGAGAAAGAAGAGAGATTAGTTATGAGATTTAAAGGTTATAATGAAAGTAAGAAATGTATACTAAGTGATTAGATTGGAAAATTTTCAGATGTGACTGATGGAAGTCCAAAAATAATTATATAAGATCTAAAAGTATGTTTAATTATTTGAAAATGATACGTTAAAAAACTAATAATGTTTTTAATAAAAAATAAAATAAGCAGAGGTTGGATGGCCGTCTGTCATGGATGTTTTAGCTGACTTTCCTGCATTGCAGGGGGTTGGACTGGATGACTCCCGAGGTCCCTTCCAACTCTACAATTCCAGGATTCTATCAATCTATCTGTTTTGCCAGCTGTGGCCATTCCTGGACAGGGATAGCCAGATCCCTGCAGTTTAGTATGCGGACATGGGTTCAGAGATATTCTTGGCATTTTCTATCCGGCGAAGTTCAAACAATAGTGCTCGGTGGAAAATGCCACAGCTAAGCCTTATTTCAGATGCCTTATGAGTTATGAAACTCACCTGCATGGTGTTTCTCAAGTTGGCTGCCTTGCATGATATCCAACACGGTTGAGTTGAGCTGGCATTCGTCATTCTGCTTTCATTTGGAAAGGATCCACCATCTTCCAAGTCCTGGCCGGCACTGCAAAAGGGACTTGTGAAAACAAGCATGTCTTTCAACATTATTTATTAAGTGTTGACAACGTGCTAAGTTACAAGAGATAAATGAGGAGAGGCGCTGCCTAAAGATTTTTGTCTCATATAATTTGGAGTAGTGTCAATTTCTTCCTTCTTTTCTTTCGTGGCCATACCCTCTAAATTTATGTGAATTAAATACATAGCCAATCTTATAATATTGTTGCATGTGTGCCAAGATGAATTGGAACGACCCCGTTTTAGAGATAAGGGGAATTCCCCTGTTGGGTGTCGTTATCATTCCTCCAGTGTGCTCTGCATACTGGGCTTTCTGGATTCTGTTTCATGCTAGAAAATGTCTGAAATGATTTGAAAATTGGAGGAGGGAGAATTGTGCTGAGGTTTTCAGTTTGGTCCATTCAATTCAGATGTCCCATTAGGGGCTATTTCTTCTTCTTCTTCTTCTTCTTCTTCTTCTTCTTCTTCTTCTTCTTCTTCTTCTTCATGCCAATATGGCTTCTATGCAGCTTATAGCCTGCCCTTCAGAAAATATCTGGCGGTGTCACAACAATAAATACATTTAACGATAAATAATAAAACACAGTAATATGTCAGAAAGCTGCCTGTTTTCTAACGTGCAAGAAAGTTTCCCATTGTTAAAGGGCCTGGATAAATAAAACAAAGGCAAGTCTTCATTAGCACTTTAAGTTAGACAACACTGGTGCCAGTTAAACACCCAACTGGGGCACAACGGTTGAGAAGCCCACCCAGTGATTGTTCTCACTGGAACAATCCCAGCAGATCTCAATTTCGGCAGGGGGCAGTGTGGGAGAAGCCGCTGCCTCAGGGAACTTGTTCCCTAGCCAATAAGGACTTCATAACTACAAGAAAGAAGATTCCACCTAAACATTAGGAAGAACTTCCTGACAGTAAGAGCTGTTCGACAGTGGAATTTGCTGCCAAGGAGTGTGGTGGAGTCTCCTTCTTTGGAGGTCTTTAAGCAGAGGCTTGACAACCATATGTCAGGAGTGCTCTGATGGTGTTTCCTGCTTGGCAGGGGGTTGGACTTGATGGCCCTTGTGGTCTCTTCCAACTCTATGATTCTATGTGTCAAGACCAAAGACATGAATTTGCCTGGTTGCAGATAGATAGCCAGTGAAGATCTTTGAAGTTCCATGTTCCATGGCCACTGTTCAAGACCCTGGAAGCTGCATTATTCACCAGCTGCAACCACAATGCACTTTGCAGTACCTGCAACAAGCCAAAGTGGCTAAGTTGCACCTCCACTCTGACTACCAGTGCCTCTGACTACCAGTTTCTGTGACTCACAAATGGGGAGAGTGCTATTGGGCTCAGGGCACTGTTTGGTGGCTTCCCGTGGTCATCCAGTTGACCACTGTGAGAACAGGATGCTGGACTAGATGGGCTTGATCTAGCAGGACTTTCCTTCTGTTCAGCCATGGAACAGTTTTCAAGGGTAGCCCCGCATGGAGTGCACTCCAATAGTCTAAACAGGTTGGCAGTATTGTGCACCTGCCAAGACCACACCCTAGTAAGGGACTCACCACCATCTCCTGGAATCTTTTGAGCCTGCTTCTCCTCTTCCTTGCTGTCGTTGTAGGTTTATCCACCCTCTCTAAGTGAACTTCTTTCAACAGGGTGCTCTACTGTCATTTTGCCACCACCAAAAAGACCCTGCCTCTTATGCATCCCAGTTTTATTTCAGGCACTGGGGGACATGGAGCAGGGCCTCAGCAGATGATCTCAAGGGTTGGGCAGATTTGTATGGATGGCCAGGAGTGAGAGATTATTACATAAAGATCCTAAATTCCCAGGGGACTAAGGGGCAAGCTGCAACTAGAGACATAGGAAGCTGTCTTATAAAGAGTCAAATGTTCCATCAAGCTCACTATTGATTATACTCTCTGCAAGTGGCTGTATAGGGTTTCAGACAGGGCTGTCTCCCCACTCTATCTAGAGATGCCAGGGATGTTGACCCCAGGAGCTTCTGTGTGCAAGGCAGATGCTATACCACTGCGTAACAGCCCTTGCACTACTTGATTTATAGCAGTGCAAGAGCGCATATGTGTATATTATTATTATTATTATTCAGGACCATTGAGCTCCGAGATATTTTTCAGGACCTTACTGGTCCTTCTATAAGTACTTGCAAAGCAGATACTCTGACACTGAGCTGTGGCTTTTCCCCTCAGTGGTGGCGCCAGTCAAAAGGTTTTGGTAGGCATGGTGCAGAGAGGGGCAATATGTTTGGCCTATGGGACAAGGTCTGTAGCTCAGTGGCAGAACATCTGCTTTGCACACAGAAGGTTCCAGGTTCAATCTCTAGGTAGGGCTGGGAGAGATTGACTCTCTGACACTCTGGAGAAGACTGGACCAATGGTGTAAGGCAGCATCCCATGTCCCTACATTTTGATGGGTGTGTGCTTTTCAGAAGCTGATCTCTGGCCTTCCTGATGGAGAAGAATCGGGAACCATGGGGTTGGGGGAGCTCAGAGTTCTTTGAGTCGGGAGCCACAGGAAGTTGCAAATCCCATGTACCCAGAGTTTGAAGCCAACTTCAGTAAACCAGACTTTCACTGACCTCAGCAACTCAGATGGAGGTTTCACAATGTGGCACATTCTTCTTCTCTTCCCCATTTCACGCTTGGTACACATCTGCGGATCTGGGCACCAAGCCAACAGCTGCCCATCATGGCAGAAGAAAGAGTGATACTGACATAACACCTGACTAACATGCAACCACATGGCAGTTCAATATGCTTTGTTTAATAACATCCTCTCAGCCTCATAACTGCCTTCTGATCAGCTCTCAGAGATTGAGAAGTATAATACTTCAAAGCTGTTTAGTGTGGTATATTTTGTTTTTTTAATTAATTCTCGCAACACCTTTGCACAAGCAGCCTTCCCCACCGCAGTGTTGCAGGGGTAGGAACTGATGCCAGGGGAAAAACAGTGTCCTCCTTTATCTAATCTCATCCATCTCTGTATTTTCAAAGCCTACAATTAACTCGGATCGTTAATGCTTGAGCACTTGTTTGCACTCCATGTTACGATTAGGAACGGGATTAATTTTAGCAAAGGCCCTGCTCTGTCAAGGGGTGAGAGCATAAGAAAGTGCTTTGCTGGATCAGATCAAAAATCTGTCTAGTCCAGTACCCTATTCCAATGGTAGGGGGATAGATTTCTGACGGAAGCCCGCAAGCAGGACAGAAAAGGATCCGTTGTTGTTTGGCCCCAGAAATGAGTTTGGTATCATGTAGCCAACAAAGTTGGAGCTCCATAACCATCAAATGGCCCAGCACCAGGAGGCTTAAAAGATCAGCTCTTTCCACTTGAACCTGCCTATCAACTATGCTGGGGCACATTCTTGCATGTCTGAGACCTTCAGTGTCTCTGTGTGTGAACTTTGCACCTCAGACGGAAGGACCTGCTTAGAAGGAATTAGGCATGCTAAAGCTTTCCATTTTTACATGCCCAGTCTGGATGGGTGGCATCTACTCTGAAGCTTGGGATAGGATTGCTCCACTCCCCATCCACACTTCTTTTCAGAGTGCAACCAAATGGTTCTGTTCATCCTTTGTTGTTGTTTAGTCGTTTAGTCATGTCTGACTCTTTGTGACCTCATGGACCAGAGCATGCCAGGCACTCCTGTCTTCTACTGCCTCCTGCAGTTTGGTCAAACTCATGTTGGTAGCTTCAAGAACACTGTCCAACCATCTCGTCCTCTGTCATCCCCTTGTCCTTGTGCCCTCCATCTTTCCCAACATCAGGGTCTTTTCCAGGGAGTCTTCTCTTCTCAAAGTATTGGCCAAAGTATTGGAGCCTCAGCTTCAGGATCTGTCCTTCCAGTGAGCACTCAGGGCTGATTTCCTTCAGAATGGATCTTCTTGCAGTCCATGGGACTCTCAAGAGTCTCCTCCAGCACCATAATTCAAAAGCATCAATTCTTCGGCGATCAGCCTTCTTTATGGTCCAGCTCTCACTTCCATACATCACTACTGAGAAAACCATAGCTTTAACTATATGGACCTTTGATGACAAAGTCATCCTTAGTGCACACATAAATCCTTGGTGGAGGGTTCTCTAAATTCAGAACATCAGTTTCATTATGCAGGAAAACAAGTCACCAGTCCCTATGCTTCGAAGATAAACTTGAAAGCATGCAGGAAAGATTGGGTCCAACTTCAGAAAGCTGGGTGCAGAGTGAGTTGGAAAAGCCGTTGATTGATTAATTGAGTTTACTTATATACCATTTTCCCACAATGAGCTGTTCGCAAAGCAGCTTATAACAAACATTCAGAACACCGAGATACAAATATACAGACCATTTCAGCAAATTAGAAAATGGTGAACACCAACAATTTTACACAGAATAAATTCAGTATCTCAAAAAGAATATAGGCTTAAGCACATAAATACAAAGCAAAGCAAGAAGCCATTCCAGTGCTCAAGTGAGTTAATATTGTGCTTTGTATAGTCCCCACCATGTGTGTGTTTTGATCAGTTTTGATGTATGCACGTTTCACACAAGCTGCAGACCTCATTCTTTTTCTTGGCATGTAACAGGGGGTGGGCACTGGGGTGCAGAACTCTGAAAATTCAGTGCAGGTAGCTTGACACTCCAAATCATTCCCTCCCATGTTTTACCAGGTATGGGGCAATAGCAAACACGTTCTGCCTCTTTTAAAGCCTCTGGTGAAGTTTTTATCTAACTCATCAGATTTAGCAATTTGTAGCTGATCTAATCTCGCTGCAGAATCCTCACTCTCTGAAACTGTATCCACCAAGCGGCTTGCCGTAAACCTCCGTTTTCCTTCAATAGCAGAGCTCCAAATGATGCCAGTGCAATTTCTTTCCTTTTTCTTGTTCCTTCCCCTCTATTTCTGCCGCCCGCACTATTTCTCCTCATTTTGCAAAACTACTCATATTCTCGTTTTACCTAAATCAAACAGATTTGCAGATTTGCTTAACAATAGCGCCGGGTGAATCATATCACGGATTGCCAGCTAGTAATCAGTAATTAACATTATAGGCAGCTAATGAGACACATCATCACCATTAACTTTCTACTCCATTATTAAAAGGGAGGATATAGGTAACTCTCACACACCTTGAAATTACTTTCCCTCCCTTCAACCTAGAGTGGGATAAAAAAAATGAGAAAAGGAAGCATTCGTTTTATGTGCACCAGGTGCTTCTCCCATGTAGGTCTCATACTGCAGTGACAGCTTTCAAATAATGCCTATGTGTTTTGTAAGATCCTTGGGGAGGATTCTTTAAGAACACAAGAAGAGCCAGAAGTAGTTACATAGGAGATAATCCAACGATCCATGGAGATGCGTACAGGCAAGGACAACATACTGGCTGAGCGGGAAACAGCTACATCTGCTGCATCAAGCCAGAGGTGCATCTTGTGCAGATGTTCCCAAAATTATTTGGCCTACCGCCCCCTTTTCAGGAAGAAAAAAATACTCAGTGCCCCACGGAAATCTACCTTCAATAACAAACAACAGTACTGTATTGGCCTGAATATAAGCCACACTTTTTTTTCCAAATTCCGATCGTGAAAAGTTAAAGTGTGGCTTAAATTTGCGACCTTACAAAAATTGGCTTTTGCGAAATCGCTGCTGAAACACACATATGGTAAAACGAAACAAACAAACAAAAAGGTTTTCTGGCCAATTTGCAAGCTTGAGACCGTTGTGCAGTTAGTTCTAATGTCATTCATTGCTTTCACTTGCAAGTCTCTCTAGCACTTGTAGGATTGTCCTCTACATTTGCCATTTACGGGTGTGAGTGCCTGCGGAATTTTAAGGGAGCGGCTTACATTTGGATATTGTCTTCTCCCCCTCCCCCTCCTTGAATTTTAAAGGTTCCGCTTATTTGCAGGTACAGCTTATGTTTGGGCCAATAGGGTATGCAGCGACAAATGTGCATTCTTTTATGTATCTATACTTCTACCTACGTTCTACAACATAGTAAAGGGGTTAAAAACCCACAGGCTGGACTGGAGCGAAGCTTGCTGGCTCAGTTTGACCTGCCCTGGGGTGGGCGAGACTGGCGCTGTAGCACGCATGCCATTGGCCAAATAGGCAGGCATGCTGCAATCCATTTCCTGGGACCAGGAAACCCTCTTGCCTCCATCATAACCACCGGATCCAAGGGACGTGTTATTGCTGTCCTGAAATGGCACCCGACCTGGTGGTTATTATATATATATAATAATCTTTATTAATTTAAATTACACGCATATACAGAAAATTTACAAAGGATTTACGATCTCATATTACAAAAAGAAATGTTAAAGAGAGAAAAACAAGTAAGAAAGAAAAGAAAGAAGAAAATACAGAAAAAGAAGAGAGAAAAGAAACAAATTTACATACATAAAACAGCATAATCTTCCTATTGACATTTTAATAGACACTTAAATAAAAAATACTTACAACAAAACAAGTCTTCCAATCATTCTCATTATACTGTTTATACTGTCCTTCTTTTTGTCGCACAGTTTTATATTCTTTAATATTGTTCCCATTTACTCCAAAAACAGTATTTGTTATGTGTTTTATTTACAGGTGTCACTCTAGTTCTGCTGATATGGTATGGTTGGTACAATATGATCTTATATACTCTTTAAATATTCTCCATTCTCTAAATATTTTCTGATTCACTACTCAAACTCTTCCCGTCAGTTTTGCTAATTGTAGGTATTCTAACATTAGTATCTGCCAGTCTGTAATTGTCGGTATTTTTTCATTTTTCCACTTCCTTGCCATAAGGATTCTTGCTGCTGTGGTGGCATACATGAACAGTGGTCTTATGACTTTTTTGATTTCTAATGGTAAAATGCCTAGAAGGAAAAACTCTAAGGTTCATTATAGATGATGCCCCAGAATTCCCCAATAATTGCGCAAGTCCACCACATGTGGTAGTATCATCCCACGTCTGTTTTACATCTCCAACAAATCGGTGACCCTCCTTTATAAATTTTTGCTAGTTTCGGGGGGGGGGGGTGATGCCATCTATATAACATCTGGTGGTTTTTCAATATATTCTTCTCTTCTTTTCTTTCTATATGTTTCCACCGCTCCGTTATTTTTATTCAATGCCCCCCCAATTGCACCCAAAGCTCCTACTGCCCCCATGGTTGTTCCAGAACCCCCAGGGGGTGGTATTGCCTACTTTGGGAAACACTGATCTCATGCAACATCCTGTTCTCACAGTGGCCAATCAGATACCTCCAGGAAGTCCACAGGCAGGCTGTAAAAGAAAGAACCCCCCTCTCCCTGTTATCCCCAGAAGCCATTGGGAAGCCTGCAAGCAGACCCCAGAGTG